AACTTCTGTGTCTGAAGATTTCTAACCCAGCTAAACTATCTTCTGTGTCTGAAGATTTCCACCTCAGCTAAACCGTCTTCTGTGTCTGAAGATTTCCACCCCAGCTCAACCATCTTCCTTGTCTGCAGATTTCCACCCCAGCTAAACCATCTTCTGTGTCTGAAGATTTCCAACGCAGCTTAACCATCTTCTACCAACACACGAGGATTGTGATTTTAAGCGTTTAAAGTCCTTTAAGTTTCTATTAAGTTCCATAATTCCTATTGAATTTCAAAACCAATTTTGGCGGAAAACGCTTGTACAACTATGAAACATACCATTTATGATATGAAACATACTGTTTAAGATAATATAAAACATACCATTTAAGGTATGAAACAAACCATTTAAGATATGAAACATACCATTTTAGAAATAAAACATACCATTTAAGATATGAAACATACCATTTAAGATATGAACATACCATTTAAGATATGAAGCATACCTTTTAAGACATGAAACATAAAATTTTGGTGTAAAACATACCATTTAAGATATGAAACATACAATTTAAGAAATAAAACATACCATTTAAGATATGAAACATACCATTTAAAAAATAAAACATACTATTTAAGATATGAAACATACCATTTAAGAAATAAAACGTACCATTTAAGATATGAAACATACCATTTAAAAAATAAAACATACTATTTAAGATATGAAACATACAATTTAAGAAATAAAACATACCATTTAAGATATGAAACATACCATTTAAAAAATAAAACATACTATTTAAGATATGAAACATATCATTTTAGAAATAAAACATACCATTTAAGATATTTAAATGACAAGAGGAATGTGAAACATCACTTTAATGTAAGTCTTAAAATAAAAATTATGATCATGTTACTGAAAAGAAGCTACAAAACAGCAGACAAGAAACTACATTATTCAACACCCTTGCCTTGCATTGGCAGCCCCCCATCCCCAACGCCCTGTCATTTGATGTCAGGCCCCCAATACACTGGCATTTTGATTTGCCACCCCAAACTTCTTGTTCACTCCCCCCCCCCCCCAAGTCCCTGGCCTTTGGATGTCTGGCCCCCCAGAACCCTGGCCTTTTGTTGACCGGACCAACCTAGCTGACATTCTAGACCCTCCTTAGATAATTCATCACCCGTTCCCCTCATCAACATGTGGCGTATATAGGGATAGTGCCACCTTGGGCGGACCAAGACCCCCCCCCTTTCCAATTTTCCACCAGAAAAGCCATGCTGTTGGCAAAAATGTGCGCCCCTCGTTATAAAGAAAATAAGTACAAACCGTGGCGAACCGCCTCCCTTACTCCCCCCCCCCCTTCCTACGCCCCTGCTTGTAGTTTTATTGATATTAACGTTCCTATATAAAAGGGGGGTGGGGGGGTCAATTTCTCAACACATGTCCTCCCATCCCCTGCTGTTGTACCTTCACTGGTCCCCCCTTCGCTAGTCCTACCTTCGCTAGTCCTTTCTTGCACTAGTCCTGTTTATGGGTAATTTACCTAATTTCTATAGCTTTTTATACGTTACCGCCATTCGCTTTTTAAATCTGTTCATAAAAGTAATGTCTAATTAATTGAAATGGCTTTTCCCCTTGTCTTATATGTCCTTGTATATCTAGCTTGCTATCTATCGCTTTTAAGTAAGGTGAATTTCTGAGAGTAGGTACAGAGTAGAAACGTTTCTGAAAGAAGTATAGAAGGCCAAGCGATTCAACATGTCGTCCACCTCGGAAATATGCAGCAGCCGTTACCTTTTCAAGATATGACTCGAGTCTGTCGAAGGGGGTGGTGTGAATATTGGACGTTACACTTTCTTCTCACACGGAAAGATTGAAAAGACGGACTGATAAGACGGCGCACTGATGAGATGGAATAGATTATGAAACTAATCCCTTCATCAGTGTTTCCTAAAGTGTGGTACGCGTACCCCATGGGAGTATCTAAAGAGTTTGTTTTGAGTACGCACTGCAAGCGAATAAAATAATATTTATTTTTTATTTTTTTATTATAGTATATGCAATTACATTCTCCATGGGTGTGTCTCATATCAGATGGTGCTGCGAGGTATGTCCCCTACTTCTAGTCGCCTACCAAGTAGTGTTGGTGTTGATGCGAGGTATGTCCCCTACTTCTAGTCGCCTACCAAGTAGTGTTGGTGTTGATGCGAGGTATGTCCCCTACTTCTAGTCGCCTACCAAGTAGTGTTGGTGTTGATGCGAGGTATGTCCCCTACTTCTAGTCGCCTACCAAGCAGTGTTGGTGTTGATGCGATGTATGTCCCCTACTTCTAGTCGCCTACCAAGTAGTGTTGGTGTTGAAGCGGGTTATGTACCCTACTTCTAGTCACCTACCAAGTAGTGTTGGTGTTGATGCGAGGTATGTACCCTACTTCTAGTCACCTACCAAGTAGTGTTGGTGTTGATGCGAGATATGTCCCCTACTTCTAGTCGCCTACCAGGTAGTGTTGGTGTTGATGCGAGGTATGTAACCTACTTCTAGTCGCCTACCAAGTAGTGTTGGTGTTGATGCGAGGTAGGTCCCCTACTTCTAGTCGCCTACCAAGTAGTGTTGGTGTTGATGCGAGGTATGTACCCTACTTCTAGTCGCCTACCAAGTAGTGTTGGTGTTGATGCGAGTTATGTACCCTACTTCTAGTCACCTACCAAGTAGTGTTGGTGTTGATGCGAGGTATGTCCCATAGTTCTAGTCGCCTACCAAGTAGTGTTGGTGTTGAAGCGAGTTATGTACCCTTCTTCTTGTCACCTACCAAGTAGTGTTGGTGTTGATGCGAGGCATGTACCCTACTTCTAGTCGCCTACCAAGTAGTGTTGGTGTTGATGCGAGGTATGTACCCTACTTCTAGTCGCCTACCAAGTAGTGTTGGTGTTGATGCGAGGTATGTCCCCTACTTCTAGTCGCCTACCAAGTAGTGTTGGTGTTGATGCGAGGTATGTACCCTACTTCTAGTCGCCTACCAAGTAGTGTTGGTGTTGATGCGAGGTATGTACCCTACTTCTAGTCGCCTACCAAGTAGTGTTGGTGTTGATGCGAGGTATGTACCCTACTTCTAGTCGCCTACCAAGTAGTGTTGGTGTTGATGCGAGGTATGTACCCTACTTCTAGTCGCCTACCAAGTAGTGTTGGTGTTGATGCGAGGTATGTACCCTACTTCTAGTCGCCTACCAAGTAGTGTTGGTGTTGATGCGAGGTATGTACCCTACTTCTAGTCGCCTACCAAGTAGTGTTGGTGTTGATGCGAGGTATGTACCCTACTTCTAGTCGCCTACCAAGTAGTGTTGGTGTTGATGCGAGGTATGTACCCTACTTCTAGTCGCCTACCAAGTAGTGTTGGTGTTGATGCGAGGTATGTACCCTACTTCTAGTCGCCTACCAAGTAGTGTTGGTGTTGATGCGAGGTATGTACCCTACTTCTAGTCGCCTACCAAGTAGTGTTGGTGTTGATGCGAGGTATGTACCCTACTTCTAGTCGCCTACCAAGTAGTGTTGGTGTTGATGCGAGGTATGTACCCTACTTCTAGTCGCCTACCAAGTAGTGTTGGTGTTGATGCGAGGTATGTACCCTACTTCTAGTCGCCTACCAAGTAGTGTTGGTGTTGATGCGAGGTATGTATCCTACTTCTAGTCGCCTACCAAGTAGTGTTGGTGTTGATGCGAGGTATGTACCCTACTTCTAGCCGCCTACCAAGTAGTGTTGGCGTTTGTCATACGGGGTTTCTCCTCTCTGTGATAGTTCAGTAATCCAGACGTTGAGGAATACAAGGAAGACAACACAAAACCCCAATGAATGACTAAGAAACTCCTCAGTAACATTTATAAACAAAATAATGTATTGATTTATCTAATATAATCTTGGAATGTTTTTTTTTTCCAACTGTTAACATCCATTAATCTCCAACGCTTAAAACCCCAAAACATTTACCGTACTTCCTCCAAAAAATTGCACCCCAGCTCATTCATCATTTAATAAACGTGGTTCCACAAAAGGAAAAGTTCCCACAAAAACCCCACATTATTGCTCACTGACACCATTTTGAAAATAACACCTAATACAGTCATAACAATTCCCGCCAACCCTATAGATCACCCGATGAAGCAATGGGGCGCCGTTGCTAAAACCCACCCTAGTCACTTGTGACAGGGTGATACTCAGTGTTACGAAAATTATAAACAGGGTCACACAGATGTCGAAAGTTTTGAAAACACTGTCTTACACTATTTTTAGTTAAAGTTATCTGTGATCCTTCTTACGCATTAAAATTACTTTCGTCTCGTGTTGTTCGTCCGTCGAGGATCGACGATGACCATCGAGTCGTCTGGTGACTGATGACTTGCGCGGGTGACTTTTGTTTAAAGTGAGGAAGAGTTGCGCAACGTCAACCTCACTCTCTCGTCCGAGCCCACCATATCCAGTGGCAAGACTTTACGTCAAGACGACCAGGGATGGGTTCGTCTAGTCCACGTCAAACACACTTATAATTTCTTATGTGAAAAAAAAAAACTTTTCAAAAGAAAAGATTTTGTAAGGAAACATAGACTTTAGGAATATGACATAAATTCTCGTTTTACTTTTGCCATTATTTGAACCGAAAGCGAATCTGAAAGTTCATGAACATTTAACGTTCTACTTTATATGCATCTGGAATATCATTTTGATTTTTAGTATTAGTAAATACAAATATTGTGAAGAGGTTTGATTAAAAACTAAAATGTTTTTTGATGACGTCACATGTGATTGAATTATTATTGACTTTGATCTTACATTTAATCACTCGCTGAGATACAGCGACACTGAAATTAATTGTTTAGTTAATTAATAATTTGGTGGAGTTTCCAATTCCATCAAAACTGTCTTTCAACTGAATCTCCATTCCGGTCTGAATCACACCTAGGAAACATCTGGGATATTAGACTATTCATACGTATAGTTAATGTTTGATATATTTCGTATTTAACTTGCGAAAAAAATTTTTATTAGACTTAAAAATCAGAAACAAATGACACACACACACACAATGCTTTATATTAATTTTTATTTGAAGTCTAAGATACCACCTTAAATCAAACAGTTTCAAAGGTATTTTGTCAGAAATATTTTAATATAGAAAGGGATATCACAAATTGCACCACTCATTTTTGACTTTCATATACTCCAAATTTTGTGTTTTGTTTTAAAAGGGGGTATTGCAATCTTGCCGCTGTTGTTGTCACTCACGATCTGCTTAACGCTTCAGACTTTTGTATCCACCCAAGAATGCGGAGATGGCTTTCACGAATCGACCTGTCAGAAGGTACAACATTTTTATAATGTATATGCCAGCTGATTTGAATAGTAGATGGAACAATTTTAGATCAGACATTTCATGTCAGCCCTATAGGCAAGGGGAAAAAATTGGGCTTTTTTTAAACAAAATGTAATCTCATTAGACATTTGTAAATAATTTATTTTTAGAGAAGAAAATTTATTTTTATTACATTGAATATGTTAAGTGTAAATTTAGTTGTACACGTAAGAAGCAGTAGGATGGTTAAATTCTAACTTATTGGAGGAAATAATCTAACTGAACAAAGGGACTGAAATAATAATATTCATAATTTTCAATTTGAAAGTTTTAATGACGTGCACTCAAATATTGATTAAATAAAACAAAAAAAGCAGACGTTGGTCTACTCACGAGCATGTCGAGATTGAAATTCACACCCGAACTGTTCAAAGCTGGGCTGGGCTGCAGTCTGCCAAACCTGGCTTAAGAAACTACCGAACTCGTCGCCACACTTGTCGGTGGCCCCAGTGACGACGCAGTTGTTGAGCTGGTCCAGGTAGCTACAGACGATGATGTTGATAGTTATATAAAGAAATTTCAATAAATTTGTAAGATCGTATTTTAAATTTTGAATGCATCTCACAACGTGAAACTGAAATAAAATAATTCCTGTCGTCAGTATGTCTGGAACTAACACAATGCGAGACAAACGTAGAAACAGCCTTGCATTTTAAAAATATGAAATTTTTATTGTGTCCCCCTTTAAAAAAAATGTTTGCTTCCTTATGTAACGCTATATTCTAGAAGTAAGCATGAGAGATTATGGAGCATCTTATTATAGTAGTTATTATGAGAGACTTTAAAAAAAAACTGGGTATCATTTGAATGAAAGACTTTAGTTGCCCTTTAAGATTACTTTCTTAAATTGTTCCTTAAATTCTTAGAGTAAAAAATGTATGTTTGTATGCGATCAGGTTACGTAAGCGGTAATAAACATCACATATATTTTCTCAAACATTCTACATCATCACACAGGTTATTTTATTTATTTTTTAAATTTTATTTTGTAGTTCACCGTTATTTTGGTAGCTTAAGAAGGCTTTTTGCCGATACATTCATTTTTTTTTTCGTTTGTTTCGTGTGTTTCTCCTCTCATGTGCGCGTTATTTCCTTGATAACGTAGAGAATAATACGATGAAATAAAAATCACTTGACGATTTGATTTGACAAAACAAAAGATCTGATGATATTTAATTTGTTAAAAGTCTAAACTTACGGGCAGAAATCGAACGATTCCAAACCTTGTCCGTTGCTCATTGCGGTAATGACGGCAACCTCGAGCTCAAACTGAAAGCTCAGTGAGCATGCGTCCATGAGCTCCTGAGCTTCCAGTCTCTTGACATCATCAGTAGCACAGTCGGACTTAGCTAACGCGAAGCTTGCTGTGGATTGTTTTTAACCAGATGTAGGCTTAATATAAAAAAAAAATTAATTTATTCTGTTTCCACATTCAATTTTTAATGGTTTTAAGTTGTACAAAATAAAATTTTGCACTTACCATTGTAACCGATTTTTGTCTTCAATCATTATTATAATTTAATGTTTATATCTTTCATTAATGAAAGAAGAAAGGACATTGATAACAAAGACATCTATTTAAAAAAAGTAATGTATTAAACCTACCCTCTTTGCCTTCAGGTGTACAGATGTTATCTGCTACTGCAATCTGTCCCTCTATGGCCTTAAGCACGCCGTCTTGGTCACACTGGGACTTGGTGTCATCAAAACATGTTTTGAATGTCTTGACCTGTCTGTAAAGAAGAAAATATGTATCTGTGTTACAATAAATGGAGGCGGAAAGCCATGGATCAATCCGAAAGGGAGGATGTGGTGGAGAAGGCCAGAGCCCTACATGGGTTTTTGTGCCAATGATGATGATGACTGAATAGAAGGATGTGGTGGAGAAGGCCAGAGCCCTACATGGGCTTTTGTGCCAATGATGATGATGACTGAATGGAAGGATGTGGTGGAGAGGACCAGAGCCCTACATGGGCTTTTGTGCCAATGATGATGATGACTGAATGGGAGGATGTGGTGGAGAGGGCCAGAGCCCTACATGGGCTTTTGTGCCAATGATGATGATGACTGAATAGAAGGATGTGGTTGAGTAGGCCAGAGCCTTAAAGGCGCTGTTGTGCCAATGATGATGATGACTGAATGGAAGGATGTGGTGGAGAGGGCCAGAGCCCTACATGGGCTTTTTTGCCAATGATGATGATGACTGAATAGAAGGATGTGGTGGAGAAGGCCAGAGCCCTACATGGGCTTTTTTGCCAATGATGATGATGACTGAATAGAAGGATGTGGTGGAGAAGGCCAGAGCCCTACATGGGCTTTTTTGCCAATGATGATGATGACTGAATGGAAGGATGTGGTGGAGAGGGCCAGAGCCCTACATGGGCTTTTGTTCCAATGATGATGATGACTGAATAGAAGGATGTGGTGGAGTAGGCCAGAGCCTTAAAGGCGCTGTTGTGCCAATGATGATGATGACTGAATGGAAGGATGTGGTGGAGAGGGCCAGAGCCCTAAAGGGGCTTTTGTGCCAATGATGATGAGTGAATGGAAGGATGTGGTGGAGTAGGCCAGAGCCGTAAATGAGCTGTAGGGCCACTGATGATTATCATATCTCAATGGAAGGATGTGGTGGAATCGGCCAGGGCCCTACTTGGGTTGTAGTCCCACTGATGATGGTGCCTGGGTAGAAGTATAATAATAATAATATTAAAGCTTATTTGAAAATCGAAACGCGGTACAAAGCCATCCATATTTTTAAAAAAGATATAAAAAAATCTATATTTTACCAAATTGAAATACAAAACGCAACATTACAAAAACTACATACGAGAAAACCCATTCTAAGTCTTTTATCCCTTGTAACCATAAACAACACAGGCCACTTTACATCTAGGAGATAATAGCTAGCTGGAAAAGACGGTTGACAACATCACCCCAACAGGTGTTTGCGGAATAGATATGTTTTCAAATCGGTTTTGAAAGACTTCATTGTCTGGCTGTTTCTGGGAGCGACAGGAATTATGTGCTGGAGCCGGCCACTGCCCCACATGGGCTGTAGCGCCACTGATGATGATTCATTACTAAAAATTGTAAATTTTATTTAAAATATTGTGTATGACTGTTTGAGTTACAAAGCAAAACAAAAAAAAATAATGAAACTTAATTATATTTCTACATTCAACAGATGCGGCCATTTTTCTTATAGATTCTTACCTGGTTACATAATCTTCTTCCTTGTTTAATTGCTTTTACTAGCGTGTATTTTGTTCAAAAATTTTTTGTATGGATCTCTGTTCTGATCTAATACTCCCAAAGATATTGAACTAATTGCCGTTCCTCTCAATCCCTATGTCCTTTTCCCTGTGTCTTCGGAGGTGATTATCCCAATGGTATATTTTGTTTTCGTCAGCCTGACTTATCATTTCGGAGTGTTGATGTAGTCTACAAGCCATTCAAGCTACTTAATCTTACGACTGGTCGTATGGTGTGACACTTAATATTACCCTGCAAGCACCTTTACTCTTGTAGTATTTTATCTTAAAACATCTGAGAGAGAGAGAGAGACAAAGAGAGAGAGAGAGATACAAAGAGAGAGATAGACAGAGAGAGAGGGAGACCGAGAGAGAGAGACAGAGACAGAGAGAGAAAGAGAGACAGAGAAAGAGAGAGAGAGAGAAAGAGAGTGAGAGTTCCATAAATCGTGTACTTCTTGATTAACATAATGACGTCATCATAGAATATGATTTTTTTATACACCTTGTACTTTAACTTTAAATTCACGTTTGAATTTAACTTTTATTATCATTTAAAAGGTTGTTTGTTTGTTTATTTAAACATTAAATTGACTTCGCGTTTGTGCGTTGCTGGCTGGATGGCAAATACTTATGGCAAATACTTCGGACGGCTAATTGATCCAGTTCCGGTCAACCTATCCAGTTGACACTTTTTCACATTGTCTCGTTGACGATGAAACAAAATTATATCAAATTTTCAGCTCCAACCCCCCCAACCTCAAACCACCCCCCCCCCACACACACACGCCAAATCCTTTTTTTTTTCATGTTTTTTCAAGGGAAGAATAAAGAAAATATGATGCCACTGATTTCGTTAAATAAATTTACCGATAACTTCGCTAAATGAGGTTCTTGAAAACAAAGAAAATATCGCAAGAGTGTTTGGTGGGTGATTTTTTCTTTTATTTTCTGAAATAGTTTTTTAGACTATTTGCGGTGTAAACATATGAAACCGGGTGGGACCTTAGAATATCAATATGCAGTAAAAAAAATAATAATTTATAATTGATCTAAAGTATTGATATGAAACTGAGGTTTCTAATTTTATTATTTTTTTTTTGGATAAAAATTATATGCCTCGTAGGTTTGTCCACATCAGAATACATTCTGTGTCCATTGGACGTTCACCAATAACATACTACTGAATGGTTCATAATATTAAGCTTTTCAAACTCTTGGTGATGTAAACCTATCAACAGTAGTTTCATTCCCAAATAAAACGACATTTTAAAAACTGTACTGAACAAATCGGTTGCTGAAAGCTAACTTAAAAACTGTACTGAACAAATCGGTTGTTGAAAGCTAACTTAAAACTGTACTGAACAAATCGGTTGCTGAAAGCTAACTTAAAACTGTACTGAACAAATCGGTTGTTGAAAGCTAACTTAAAACTGTACTGAACAAATCGGTTGCTGAAAGCTAACTTAAAACTGTACTGAACAAATCGGTTGTTGAAAGCTAACTTAAAACTGTACTGAACAAATCGGTTGTTGAAAGCTAACTTAAAACTGTACTGAACAAATCGGTTGTTGAAAGCTAACTTAAAACTGTACTGAACAAATCGGTTGCTGAAAGCTAACTTAAAACTGTACTGAACAAATCGGTTGCTGAAAGCTAACTTAAAACTGTACTGAACAAATCGGTTGCTGAAAGCTAACTTAAAACTGTACTGAACAAATCGGTTGTTGAAAGCTAATTGAAAGCTAACTTAAAACTGTACTGAACAAATCGGTTGCTGAAAGCTAACTTAAAACTGTACTGAACAAATCGGTTGTTGAAAGCTAACTTAAAACTGTACTGAACAAATCGGTTGTTGAAAGCTAACTTAAAACTGTACTGAACAAATCGGTTGTTGAAAGCTAACTTAAAACTGTACTGAACAAATCGGTTGTTGAAAGCTAACTTAAAACTGTACTGAACAAATCGGTTGTTGAAAGCTAACTTAAAACTGTACTGAACAAATCGGTTGTTGAAAGCTAACTTAAAACTGTACTGAACAAATCGGTTGTTGAAAGCTAACTTAAAACTGTACTGAACAAATCGGTTGCTGAAAGCTAACTTAAAACTGTACTGAACAAATCGGTTGCTGAAAGCTAACTTAAAACTGTACTGAACAAATCGGTTGCTGAAAGCCAACTTTGATGTTCAGAACGCGACTTTTCTGATAACAAATTTTTTTTTTTTACTTTGAGGAAACGCATTCCAAAATCTCTAACTTCTCAATGAAGAGTACGGTCTTTCAACTAACATTTACTAAGTGACAGAAGACTTTTATAATAGCCTCTTAACTGACTGAAAACTTGTTATAATCATTCCCTAACTCAACGTCAGAAAAGACTTTTTGTAATCGTTCCTTAACTCAGTGGCAAAAAGACTTTGTTATAATCGTCTCTTAACTCCCTAACAGAAGAATTTCGTAAACAACTCTTCACTCACTGACAGAAAAGGGCGTAGGCCGCCTCATCAGAAAGTTCATTTAATGCCCCTGCATCTCCCGACTCCACTTCCGACAGAGGGAATGAACAAGCCATCAGCTCACTACAGGAATCACTTCGTTTGGCGAGTAGGTCTTTCCTGATCAGGCTGCATTCTATCAAATAAAACAAACACTCAAATTCAGACCTGGGAAATTCAGCATCATTAATCTATTACTGGACCCTTTGAATATCCTCAAACGAATGCAAAACAATTGATCCCATTATTGAATTATGTCCTAGTGGACACGAACGCTCCAAGTTACATGGTAAGAATTTTGGATTATTAGAGATTACCACTGTTATATTAAAGAAAATATTTATATACTGCAGCGCACTCTTTTGAGTTTATAACACATTATAACATTTGTGTTAAAGAGCTCCCTTTTAGGATTCCGCCCGGGTTGGCATTTAATCAAGATACGCCACTGTCAGTTTTGTTCAATCTATAAATATATTTGTATTCACTCCAAATTTTAGCCAGACATAATTGACTACAAACATAGTTGACTTCAAATATAATTGACTTTAAACTGATTTGACTTCAAACACAATTGACTTCAAACATAATTGACTTCAAACATATTTGACCTAAAACATATTAACCTAAAACATATTTGACTTAAAGCATATTTAAAAATTTGACATAAAACATATTCAACTTAAAACATATGAATTTAAAACATATTTAACTTAAAACATAATTGAATCAAAACATATTTAAATATTTGAGCTAAAACACATTTAACTTAGAACATGTTTGCTTTTAAAACAAATGACAGAACACTTTCGCCCCATAATCTGTCGTAAATCAACACGCAACAAATTTCTAACATTTAAACATATAAACTCACCGCAAAATATGGCAGCAAAAGACAAGGCTAGGACGAGTTTAAACATTTTTCAGCAAGTCCTCGAAAATACTAAACAGCAGCTTGTAACTTGTTTTAACGAGGTGGTTCACGTCCCTTTGTTCAGCCAGAGTTCTTTCCTTTCCTTTTATAGCCGACCATCCTGTCAAGGCCGGAGTCATTTTTGACCAATTAGCAATTTGCCAGCCGCGGTAACATTTCGAAATGCCCAAAAATCTGCACCCATCAGCTGTAGGTTTCGTCACTGCGCTAGCATTTTGTTGTCTCCACCATTTACTCATTATATATGTATGCACATAAATTATATTAGCTTTTAGAGTTTTCTATAACTTAACACACACACAAATATTTCATTATTCAAGGACATGCTAGTAGCTTATGTCAATTTAAATTTTATCAAAATTTTAAAAAATCTCTTTGCGTATTTGCTGTGACGTCAAATTAGCCCCAACCTTGACATAACTAACAGTTCTATTCATCTTTGGGTCCTGTCACTGGCGCACCTGATATCACCTGCATGGCGATTGCAACAGGGCGCCAGGGGTTGAAGGTCAAGTTTCTCAGACTTCTTCGACTCTTACGGTTCATGTAACTGTATTTTCAGACTATTTCCTTCTTTTCCCATGTTTATTTGGGAACCATAAATGATAGCATCCATGAAACCATACACGATTCCATACAAGATACCATCCATTATACCATATATGATACCGTTCATGATACAATACATGATGCCGTCCGTGATACCATACATGATACCGTCTATGATACCTTACATGATAATAATTGATACCATCCATGATACATGCATGATACCATCCATGACACCATCCATGGCACCATCCATAACACCATCCATGACAGCATCCATGACACCATCCATGACACCATTCATGACACCCTCCATGACACTACCCATGACACCATCCAGGACACCATCCAGGACACCATCCAGGACACCATAGATGACACTACCCATGACACCATCCATGACACCATCCATGACACCATCCATGACACCACCCATGACACCACCCATGACACCACCCATGACACCATCCATGACACCATCCATGACACCATCCAGGACACCATCCAGGACACCATCCAGGACACCATCCAGGACACCACCCATGACACTATCCATGACACCACCCATGACACCATCCATGACACCATCCATGACACCACCCATGACACCACCCATGACACCATCCATGACACCATCCATGACACCATCCATGACACCATCCAGGACACCATCCAGGACACCATCCAGGACACCATCCAGGACACCATCCATGACACCATCCATGACACCACCCATGACACCATCCATGACACCATCCATGACACCACCCATGACACCACCCATGACACCATCCATGACACCACCCATGACACCATCCAGGACACCATCCATGACACCATCCATGACACCATCCATGACACCATCCATGACACCATCCATGACACCACCCATGACACCATCCATGACACCATCCAGGACACCATCCAGGACACCATCCATGACACTATCCATGATACCATACAACGGACTTAGTCATTGCACCAATCCCTTTGGTTTGTTGCGAAATATCGCAAACCTAATTTTTATATCGCATGTATGAAATATAATTGACTTGGACTTAATACCCGTGCCCTAGTTCCATCCTTACCAAAGCCTTAATTTAAGCCAACGATAATGGTCGTAACCTTTTACGTCCGCCTCATTTTCTGTCTAACCGCCCTTTCCCGGGGTGACACTAACCTGTCGGGTCGGCCTGTACGACTCTTTTGTGCTATTGCCAAAAACTATTTGTGGGGTAACGCGAAGCTTTGGATGACTCTCGTTCAGGTTACATTTAAAAGGACCGCTTCCCATGATGTGGGTTCCCGTTAATCCAATTTGTTGGTGTTAGATCTGATGCTTGTTTGCAATAATTATTTTTTTTTTTTAATGACCGTGCCTCGCTAAACCTTTGGACAGCAGTTTCCGTTGCTTATATTACGCTTTACGACGAGATGGGCGGTTACCGGATATTTCTTGGAAAGAAATTTCGTCGACGGAGAATTGATCGATGAAACTTGATGTAAAAGTTTGTTGTTACACAGACCACAGACTTAACTTGGCATCTTGTTATACTACTGGCCGATATGCCCGGCGTTGCATGGGAGTGCATTTTGGAAAAACAATTACTTCTAAGGCCTTTTAATTAACATTAAATTTAAACGCAATGTAAAAAAAAGAAAAAAAGCACTCATGTGATAAATAATTCCTTTGTCTCCTATAAAAACACATTGATAATATCTTTATTTAAGATTGTCGTTCCCCATTGGGATCCCGATGGTATCCTGGTACCTGGAAGGATCCTAACCCGGTATGGATCCTGATCTTGATCCCGTTTGGACCCCGATTTTGGTTTAATCCCATACCCCTTGAGTACCCCTATCCCGTCGGTATCCCGATCCCGTCGGTATCCCAATCCCGTCGGTATCTCGATCCTGGCGTGATCCCGATACTGGTGGGTTCAAGATCCCGATTGGATCCCAATCCCGTTAGTATTCCGATCCCTCTGGATTAAAACTCCAGGGTATGATCCCAATCCCATTAGTGTCGCGATCCCGTCAGGACACCGTTTCCTGGTGGGATCCTCTTCTCTGATTGGATCCCGTTTTCCGAGATAATCTCGATCCTGGTTTGGTCCTGTAACCCGATGGGATCGCGTCACCAGTGGGTTACATTTACTGTTGGATTTCGTTAACATTACGATAAGCTTTTAGATCCCATTATTTATCCCCGTATTACTATGTAGAACCATCTGGAATATTCTAGATTATTTTAAATATATTCCTCGGAACGGTTAAAAATGACTTTTCTTACGTCATTTGTTTTCTCATAGCGAACAATTCTAAAAATATTTGCACCACTATAACTATAGTACATATACATTGATAGTGGGACCCTGACGGGGCCCCATTTTATAAGTGTAACGATTTAGTTTTGACTCAGATTAAGGGGGGGGGGGGGGTTCTAAATATCAGTCAGATAAATAATAAAGATAACATTTACAAGTTGTCCCATTAACATTGGTTTTTAAATTCCTTAGATGTAGCGTTTTTAAATCATCGAACTTCCTGGAAATTCTAAGTTAGATAATCTTAGTTTTAAATCCACTGATAGTTCAGTATTGACTATGAAGGGTATTGCAGCTAGGCTTAAATCCGTCAATTTACATGGAACCTATAGTGTTGTCTATGCATATTGATATTTTTATAGCTTATTTTTTTAAAATGAAATGGGGCCCCCGGCTCCAGAGGAATTGATATTATGAGTTCAGCACTAGGGGGCCGCAATCCGGGATCCCGATTCTAAAAAACACCGGAATACCGGACCATGATCAATGCTCGAAAAAACCGGCATTGGATTTATGAAAACCGGGATTTTCGATGATCCCTATTTTCATTTTCAAAAAATTTATATCGCTTTTCTTAGTTTCCATGTCGTAGTTAAAGCAAGAATTATAAATAGTGTACGTGATGTGCAAAGTGCGAGTCCCTCACACCACGTGTATCAAGTTCAAAGAGAGCCGACCGACGGGCTAGATCTGCGTACTGTTCATTTGTCAAAAATCATGGAATTGTGATTAGTTTTGATTTTACAACGTGCGTGAGTCGTGTGCAAGTGGAGACGCGAGTCGTGTGCAAGTGGAGACGCGAGTCGTGTGCAAGTGGAGACGCGAGTCGTGTGCAAGTGGAGACGCGAGTCACGGTGAAAAAAGTACAGATTTGGAAAGTAAATATTTTTATATTATTAACAAATAAATGATTGCTTTAGTCGAATGAAGATAGAACGTTGATTTAATTAACAATGTGTTTGTAGCATGAAATATATGGAAATATTAACACGCTGCATTCGAATCAGGGGGTAAACTTTAAATAACACAACTGTTTGATTGCATGATTTCCTTTAATTATGCTAAAGTATCGACATATTTAAAATTATGAGTAAATCCGTATTTTGATAATCAAATACCTTAAGTTTAGACATAGAAAAAGTAAGCTACTACTATTTTGTGAAAACAAATGGATAATTCACATTCACCTCTTAATGAATTTACGAGCTATTTTGTCCAAGGCCGCATGTCCCAGTTTGTCTGTACCGTACCTAGCCAAACATTTACATGACTGAATGTCCCATCTTGTCTGTGCTTTACCTAGCCAAACATTTGCATAACTGATTGCTCAGTTTGTCTGCATCGTACCTAGCCAAACATTTACATGACTGAATGTCCCATCTTGTCTGTGCTTTACCTAGCCAAACATTTGCATAACTGATTGCTCAGTTTGTCTGCATCGTACCTAGCCAAACATTTACATGACTGAATGTCCCATCTTGTCTGTGCTTTACCTAGCCAAACATTTGCATAACTGATTGCTCAGTTTGTCTGCATCGTACCTAGCCAAACATTTACATGACTGAATGTCCCATCTTGTCTGTGCTTTACCTAGCCAAACATTTGCATAACTGATTGCTCAGTTTGTCTGTACCGTACCTAGCCAAACATTTACATGACTGAATGTCCCAGTTTGTCTGTACCATAGTTAGCCAAACATTAACATGAAAATTTAAACTTTTTTTTTTTTTTTAAGTTGTACACGTCAAACCAAATAGATTTAATAAATCAATGGTTGTTAATGATTTATTTTACCTTAAAAGTTTGGTAGAAAGAAATGTGGGACACTGAATAAAATAAACCGAAATATGAAAAGCATATGAAACTATCGGAAACAAAGACATCAGTCTGGTCTTGTGGAGTCTGAGCGGAAGTTCTCGTCATCTGGTTACTTTTGTTACCAATTTGCTCCCAAGAGATGCGTCAGCATTGTATACCTGCGGCTCGAACCTTGAGCATGTTGGGTAGCACATACTTGTGTCAGCAGCTGTTTTCTGTGATGAAGATTAACAAAACATCACACGGAAGTCGTCTCACTGTTGAACACTTGCAGTCCAATCATGGGGAACCTCAATGACACAATACGTTACTCCGAACATAAACGAGCTTTACTTGTTTTTGTAGCCAAGAAAATGTCCAAAAATC